TGCGGGAGGGGGGAGAGCAGACGGGACGGTCTCGAAACCCCCTCTCCCTCCCTTGCGCAAAAAGTCTCGGCACCCGGGCATACAGCACAGAGTGGCCTCGGCCAAGTGGCCGGTGGAAGGAAGGAAGGAAGGAAGGAAGGAAGGAAGGAAGGAAAAGATTCTACTGCAGCGCTGCCTGCCTATTTGTTTATTCACACTAATAAATAAATATAGACTTCCCACCGGAGGATTAGCTGCCACAGGGCTACACATTTATTCTGGAGCATGGGTAGCCAGCTATGTGGGAGATACTCCTCCTGAGGAAGCCTATATTTCGCAAGATTCAATGGGATGCAGTGCTTCAAGGTAACACACTTATGTAAGATGCCCCTTAACTGTATGAACATGTGGTTCTTCTGTGCTGTCAGGGCACATCCAACTGCTAAAAATCCTATTACTTAGGTCCTACCCTTAGGAACCTGTGGTGGTTTCCTTTATTGGATTAATCCATTGCATGTTAGTATTTTTTCCCCTCCTGCCTTTGGTTTTCCCCAGCATTATTGTATTTTCTATTGTCTAGTCTTGTGATGTGCCCAAAGTGTGAAAGCTTTAATTTAGTCATTTTTGCTTTGAGAGTGAGTTCAAGTTTGATTTGATCTAGTAACCAACTTCTTTGTTTTCCTGGAGAGTGCAGAAAAGTGGGATTTATGCCTGATTAAAACAGAGATAGCATTTTATTTGTATTAGCCATAGGCCTTAGCAAGATAAATACAAAATTTACAAAGATATAAAATCAAGATAACCCATGCATATATATCAGATACATACAGTATGCCAATGCCAAAATTAAGCAAGTAGATCTATGAAGAGTTACTATTTTAAAATCATATTTGGCCTAATTTGAATTGCTGCTGCTAGAAATTTAGCTGACTGTGCCATCCCCTGTTTATCTCCATCCACAAGGAGAAAAGATACATAGAAATCAGATGACAACCTGATTTCTTAACTAACCAGGGCTAAATTCGCTCTTTGCGCCCCTTTCTATAGAAAGAACCAAACAGCAGATGGGCCAGCATTTCAACCTCTTCATCCCATGGGCAATTTTGTAATGGGATTCCTTTGAAAGGGCCCTCAGGTAGTGCTGAAGGCATTACATTAAGTCTTGTGCATGAAAAGGACCTTATGTATTTTGGAGCTGTTTGCATATGCAGATATTGTGCCCTTGTTTTTGAAGGACTTATCATGGAGCCATCATACCAAGGGCATGATTTACTGGTGGCAGACAAATTATTTTGATGCTCAATACTGTATAGGCGCTGCTCTAATGAATTTTTTGCCTCACTGGTCCATAAGCAGTGGTCCATTAGAGATCAGATGACATTGCAAAAGTATGTACTTTGGTCCTGATATTTTTCTTCCATTCACTCTCACGAGATTCCTCCATAATAAGGGAGAGCGGACTGGAGAGATTTGATCTGGTAACCAACTTATTAGTTTTCCTAGCAAGTGCAGAATAGTATGATTTATGCCTGATTCAAAAATATCTCCTTTGTGGTGACTAGGTTTGCCTTACAGAGTGTAGTTAAGCCAGGTGTGTTACATATCTGCCTTAAGAAACTTCCTTCTTTCATAACCAAAATCCACTTATGTTGATCAAGATGAATCAAGAATAGATGGAACTTTTGGCCCCTTGGCGACGGCAGCAGATTAAGTCTTGAAAAGAGGGTCAGGAAATAACAGTACACTCAGTAACACGTTTGTAGGAAGAATAAGTGTTGTTGGGCGTCTTCCTCTTTCCTGTCCATCTTTTCAAGAGTTAGTCTGCTGCTGCCAAGGGGCCAGGAATTCCATGTTTTCCTATCATCTTGTGTATCATCTTCCCATGGCAAAGTTCACTGATGGACAATCACACAGTGTATTGTTCAGAGTGTCTTGATATGGGAAGGTCTGTCTATAGTGTGGAGACTTTGGCCATTCAAGGGGGGTGGGGCTACAATGTCCAGAGTCCCTTACCCCGCCTCATACTCACAAATGTTCCTACTGCACCACCTGTGCAAAACAACCGAGGTTCCTAAATTTAGCCCTGTTCAGGCATTACATAGGTGTGTATACTTAAATGGATAGCTGTGGCTCACTATTACAGTTTTTGGACTATAATGCCACACCATTGGCTGTTTAGCCTAATACCCATGGGCCTTGTAAGCCATAGCTAGCTGGTGTACTGTGCTGACCCTGCCCCCATCCCAGTTTCCCACCCCATGACTGGGCCCTGATGTTTGAAAGAAGGAGAGGCATCTAGCCCTGATCAGGCGTTCTGCCTCTGTTTCAGGTCACCCTAATGGGAAGCAGCCTAGCCCCAGCCCTGTTTCTGATGTTGTCACTCTCAGACATTTGAAAGGCAACAAGTCTGAATAGGCAACTCGTGGACTGTCCATAGGAATTCTGCCCCTGAATTGGGACCCTGATTGGGGGGGGTGTCCTAATTTCCCATGAGGAGCTGTCATAGGTACCGGAGGATCTCCTCCTCACACCTAGGAGAACAACAACACTGGAGAGCTCCCCTCTGTCCAGGAAACAGAGAGAGAATGCCTGAACAGGGCTTGTGTGGCATCCATTGTTAGGTTTTTCACTCAAGGTCAAATAAACACACATGAAAGCCATTTTTTTTCCTGCCCAGCATCAGAATGTCAAGGCCATTGGGAGCTACACATGAATCCCTTTTACATTTCCTGTTCATGCCACAGGTCACCTACCTGGGCAAGGAGTAGCAAAGTGGATTATTCTCCTGTATGAAGCCAGCAGCCACCTTTTCTGTACAATAGGCATTCCACTGATCCATGGAGCTTTTCAAGTTTCTGCAGAAGGCTAGTTCAAATGATGTCCATTGGGAGATTGGTTGGTACCCCAGTTTTGTTCCCTGTGAAATTTACTGCACAAACAGGCAAGTGACAAGGTTCAGGCAGGTCTGAGAGCACACCTGCCGGTCGATTTGTTGTTGGTGACAATCATCACCTGCACTTGGTGAAAAGAGTCGTGTAGTTCCTTTTACCTCTCCTGAATCTCTCTCCTCAGAACCCAATCTCATTTAGTGTAACTGAATGGAGAGAAATTTAGAACAGATGAGATAAAATGCTTCTTTGTGCAGAACAAGGTTAAGCTGTGGCACTCACTGCCTTGTGATGTAGTGATGAATCTAAAGGGACTCTCACCCTTATATCCTGCTTATTGTGGACTAGAGACACACCATACCATGAGGAGCCTCGTGCTGCAGTGATTAAACCGCAGTAATGCAGCCAACACTCTGTTCACAGTGTGGGTTCAATCTCAGGTAGCCAGATTGAGGTTCACTCAGCCTTCAAGGCTGGTAAACTGAGTACTCAGCTGGGGGGGGGGGGAATGTGTCATCTGCATAATTAAATTGTAAATCACCCAGAGAGTGCCTTAAGCACTGTGTGGCAGTATATAAGCAGCACACTTTGCTTTACTACAACATTTTGCTTGATGCCCCCACTTGTGTCTTATGAATGTAAGTACTAGATTTCCCCCTAAATGTTCAAAATAATCTACAAACTGTCTGAGCAGAAAGCAGCATTTACAGCCCTAGAAATAACTATGCTAGCTGAGCAGGGGCCATGTAGTGAGGATGCTAGTGAGAAACAAAAGACCTCTGACCTGTTGTGGTTGGTGTAATAAGGCCACTTAGCTCCACCAATCCAAGCCAATCTGTCATCACTGCATCACACACCCAGATTAACTCTTGATAAACATGGGAATGTTAGCTGAAGCAAGTCTGGGAGCTGTGAAGAGCTAGGAAAGTGTTTGGAGAGAGGGATCAGACCAAAAGAAAGAAAGAGACAGACAGACATTGTGACACCTTAAAGGCTAACTGTTATCTCACTCTTCCTCAGATGTAGGAGTGAAACTATTTGATTCTCATATTTACAAGTTGTTGGATACTGGGTGGGGATACAGATAATGAAGAAAAAATAACAATGGTTCATTACTAATGGAACAGGCTGTCAGTTTCAGTTATCAGTCTGCAGGTTGATACAAGTGGCAAACTGTGGGAATCTGTGTAGGATTTGACATTTTTCAATTACTTAATTGATCTTTGATGTTCAGTCTATTTAAACAGATTTCTACCATATATACTTATATACCTTACCTCAGCTGTTTCCGTTTCAGTTTAGAAACAAGTCAGAACTGGCACCTGTGTACACATGGATTACACAGTGGTAATACAGAGATGGGAATTAAACCTTGCTACAAAATCCCCACATCTACTCTGGCAAAACAATTACAGGCCCCAACAATGTCAAACATAAAATCAGGGGTGGGTTTGCTTGTTCCTCTGCTAATGTGATGTATGCCATCTTTTGCCAACAACACCCTTCTGCACTCTACATAGGAAAAACAGGATAATTTCCACTCAAAAAAATTAATCGACATAAATCTTTACATCATGAATCGCAACACACACAAAACTGTTTCAGAACATTTCAATCTTCCTGAACACTCTTTGAGTGACCTGGAGGTCACCATTTGGGGGGGAAACACACTATAAAACCAAACTGGAAAGAGACAAAGCTGAGATAAGGCATGTACAGATGTTGTTGTTAGCTGCTGTCAAGTGGACCCCAAATTATGGTGACCCTATGAATGAGTATTCTGCCCTCAACAGCCCTGGACAGCTCTTGTAAACCCAAGTCTGTGGCTTCCCTGCTGTCAAGTGGACCCCAAATTATGGCAACCCTATGAATGAGTGTTCTGCCCTCAACAGCCCTGTACAGCTCTTGTAAACCCAAGTTTGTGGCTTCCTTTAGGGAGTCAATCCATCTCATATTTGG